AGGAAGCGAGTTTCAAAAGCACAAAGGTTTTATAGGGGTCTAGGGGCAGTTGGTGAGGTAATGGCTGTGGCCTCAGCCGATTGGCTGGGGAAGGGTCGGAGTCCTGTTACGCAGGTCGCTGGGCGTGTTTTGATCGGGAAGTTTGAACGGGTGAGTGGGAAGTTATTCAAAGGGAGGAGGTGTGGTCAAGGTGGAGGACACAGAACAAGATGGAGTTGGCCGGTGTAGGTCCACCCTTTCATTGAATACACATCTGTTTTTACCCCCAAGGCCAAGCTTTGTCCACTCTACACACTGTGACGTAAATTAACATTTCTTGTGATATGGTTAAGATCTCAGTGGGGCAGGAGGGCATGCACTTGGAGATGCTTGGCTCCTCCAACATAAAATGGCATACTTAAGAGGTCAAGATTAGGCCACCTCCAGGACCACCTGTCATGCTAGGTCAAAGCCCCCTATTATCCTGCTGAACTACTGTCAACACAATTGTATGATTCTGTAGACCATAGAGTTTGTTCCTTGTGACTCACAAAACATCAACAGACCCGTTTTCTATAGTTAAAAAAAAAAAAAAAAAAGATTTAACTTAGCCTGACTCTGCCACCTCCATGTCACCCTTCACTGTCACTCCAGTAGGGCCTCACACTCCTCCCCATCATCACCCCTTACTTCAGAGCGCCAGCATCCGCTGATTTCGTCTGGCTTCTGGATGCTCCGCCAGGCGTCTCGTTCTTGTTCCAGACACATCACTCCATCCCACACTGGGCACCGCTCGGATTCCTTCACCACTGTAGGTGACAGACTTTGGGGGCTTGTTTGGAGTTAAGTTTGAGGGTTTGGGGAGGTTTGTGGGTTAACATTCAGACGATACCTTACAGTGGGATATTAGACCCTCGTTTTGCAAAACTCTCTTAGCCACTGCTACATTATCACCCCTCCCCTCCCCTCCGCCATTAAGCCCAACACTTCTTTTTGGGCTCCTCCCTCCCTCCCAGACCCTTCCTTCTATAGCTAATCCTTGAAAAGCTAACATTCTTACTTTAGTGTGCAGAACAACTCGTTCTGTTTGCCTCGGGGCTAGCTCATCAGTGATTCAATGCCCCATCACTGTGTTCTGGTAAATAAAAGACAATCCCAAAAAGAAACTATGTCTCTCTCTCCTAGGAGCCAGGGCTGCTGTGGCCAATTATGGGTTCTTTATTTTCTTTCTCTTTCTGTCTCCTTTCTTGCTAGTGTACCTACTCAGAGTGTTTGAGCTGAGAAGGAAGAAGGGCGGGAGAGTTTGCAGGGACAGAACCCATGGAGGAACACTTACTGGAAATCAGGTGGGAGGTGGTCCGCTGCAGGGAGTCCTTGGATGCTCCTGGTGGGCAGAGGCCAGGAGAGGGGACTGAGCCAGGCCCAGGATTGAGAGCAGGCCCGCGGGGCTAAGAAAGTGCCATTCTAAGAACCTCCCCCTCGGGGAGGTATGGTTCTAATGATGCCTCTTTTATGCACATGAAAATAGGATCTTTGATTACCCACTTTGCTCAAAGTTAACAGAGTTGGTAAGTAGCAGGCTTGGAGTAAAGCGGGCTCCTGGCCCTGGGCCACGCTCTTGGTCATGGTGCTATTATTGTGCACTCTAGGAAGACAAGCACACTTAGATGGAATGCCAGTCAACCTCCTTACTCAGACCCCCAGTGAAGTGTTTGACCTTTCAGAGGCACCGTTTCCACACCTATAATAAGATAGGTGCGTTGAAACCTATCTCGTAATGTTAAGATCAAATCAATGTGAAGTCTACCGTCAAGTAGGTTCGATAAAAATCAGTATTCCTTCTTTATGACGTTTTCTGTATTTTGTGAAAAGGATCATTAACAGCATCTTTAAGGTTGCTTTAAGGTTGATTGAAGCATCTTTAATCCGTTTCTAAGATTGTTTTATTTTGTAAAAAAGTCATAAGCATTGAGGGACAAACCCAGTGCCTGTTCCTTGATTTTGAGTTTAATACAATTTAAACAGGAGGGAACGAATGACTATTGGTTTGTAGCTAGAGATGAAAAAATGTTGCAAGAATGATCCAATTTGATCTGTAAAAAAAAAAAAAAAAAAAAAAAAAAAAAAATCACACAATTGGCAGATTGAAGGGCTCGCCTTTAAAACTACTACACATAATCAGGTCGATTTTTGCTCTGTGTTACAACTGCCTTTTCCCAAAAATTTCTGCTTTCCTTGGAGACGGTTTAACAGGGTGGCAAGTACCCTCAGCCCAGTTTCCTCCAGGCTGCCTAAAATGAATTTATCCAGGTGTTAATGCCACAGAAGGAGAAGGTAAACTTGAGATAACACTGTATTATTAGCTTTGTAGCTACTTAAAACAAAGGTCTTTGCATATATAAAGAAAAGAATGAAACTTGTATATTATGCATTTTTATTCTCACATTTCTGCATAATCCTTTTCTTAAAGACAGATTTGTAAATACCATACCCTGAATTTCATTCATTAATCCCAGTTTTTAAAAATTCTTTTAATGTTTATTTTTGAGAGACAGAGCACAAGTGGGGAAGGAGCAGAGAGAGAGGGAGACACAGAATCCAAAGCAGGCTCCGGGCTCTGAGCTGTCAGCACAGAGCCTGACGTGGGGCTCGAACTCAGGGACCGCGAGATCATGACCTGAGCCGAACTCTGCGCTTAGCTGACTGAGCCACCCAGGTGCCCCAGTTTTTAGTTTTCAAATGAACTCAACTCCTTCGGTTCCGAGAGGCTCCAGGTAATCCGCCCACTGGTTGGCCCGGCCAGGTGAAGGTGTGGGAAGCAGTGGAGTCTGGAGGCTGCATTTTAGTTCCAACCACTGACTGATCTGCTGTAGGAACGAGTCCTACCAGCCCCTCTCCGCACTTTAGTCACCTCCTCCGTCAAGAAAGGGAGTTAGGCTAAAACGAAACGACAATGTACGAATTACTGTGGTACGTAATTAATATAGATCCTCTCCTTTTAGCCTTTTAAAGAAGTACATTGCCTCCAGTTTCCTGGTGAAGAAACAGCCTGAGACAGTTAGCTGTCCAAGGTCAGTATGTGGTGTGGCCCAGATGTTCCCAGAATCGGCCCTATTTCTGGCCTCCAGTATTCACGTTTAATGCAGTCTTTGGCCCTGAGCTAAGTGCACAAATACGGAGCTCTCTGGGGCGCACTTTCCAGCACAGAAGGAAGCACCATGATGGGGTAAATGGAAGGCAGGGATCAGGAACACAGGAAGGTCCGGCTGCGGAAGGGCCGACCAAGCAAGCAAGCCCCTCTCAGGAGGGGACACTCCAGCTGAACCCAGAGCCATAAGAAGGTACCGGGGAAACCAATTAAGTTAAGGAGTCAGAGGTCAGCGAACTTTTCCTGTCAAGGGCCAAATAGTAAATATCTTGGCTTTATGAGCCATAAAAGTCTCTGTTGTGGCTACTTGGCCATTGTATGGAAGGCACCCCCACATAATGCATAAATGATGAGCACGGCTCTCTTCTAACAAAACTTTATTTATAAAAACAGGTGACTGGCCAGATTTGGCCTATGGGCTGTAGTTTGCTAGCCGCTGTTTTAGATGGTAAATACTAAGTTATAAGTTACCGGCAGTGAAGGTATTTAGGTAAGTGGGGAGAGAACCATTTGTAATTACTTGTTTGCTTTTTTTTCTCAATTTTTTATTTTTATTTATTTTTTTGAATTACATTTATTTTTTATAATTTACATCCAAATTAGTTAGCATCTAGTGCAACAATGATTTCAGGAGTAGATTCCTTAGTGCCCCTTACCCATTTAGCCCATACCCCCTCCCACACCTCCTTTAGTAACCCTCTGTTTGTTCTCCGTATTTCAGTCTCTTCTGTCTTGTCCCCCTCCCTGTTTACATATTATTTGTTTCCCTTCCCTTATGTTCATGTTTTGTCTCTTAAAGTCCTCATATGAGTGAAGTCATGTGATATTTGTCTTTCTCTAATTTCACTTAGCATAATACCCTCCAGTTCCATCCACTTAGTTGCAAATGGCATGATTTCATTCTTTTTGATTGCCAAGTAATATTCCATTGTGTGTGTGTGTGTGTGTGTGTGTGTGTGTGTGTGTGTGTGTGTACATATATAAATATATATGTATATACCACATCTTTGTCCATTCATCCATCAATGGACATTTGGGCTCTTTCCATACTTTGGCTATTGTTGATAGTGCTGCTATAAACATGGGGGTGCATGTGTCCCTTCAAAACAGCACCCCTGTATCCCTTGGATATATACCTAGTAGTGCCATTGCTGGGTCATAGGGTAGTTCTATTTTCAGTTTTTTGAGGAACCTCCATACTGTTTTCCAGAGTGGCTGTACCAGCTTGCATTCCCATTCAATTTTTTAAATGTTTACTTACTTTTGAGAAAAAAAAAGAGACAGAGGCATGAGCAGGGAAGGGGCAGAGAGAGGGAGACCCAGAATCCAAAGCAGGCTCCAGGCTCTGAGCTGTCAGCACAGAGCCCGATGCGGGGCTCAGACTCGTGAACTGCGAGATCATGACCTGAGCCGAAGTCAGTCGCTCAACCGACTGAGCCCCCCAGGCGCCCCTGTAATTACTTGCTTTTTGGTGGGGCGTGTTTATCTTTCAGCTCATCAATACCAACTTTAACTGCACAAGTGAGCCGTAAGTACATTTTCCTCCTAAGAAAATAAAACATTATAAATCAAAGCCCTTTGAGCACGCCCCAAACCTGGAGCCCGTCACAGGAGTATTTTTTAGTTTTGAGTGTATCACTTTATAGGTTTTGTTTTCAATATAGCACTTATATTTATCAATATCTGATGAGCTGTGTCATACAATTTTAGTTTTTGCTGGCGGGTGAGGATTGTAAGCGGCAGCCTAAGTACAGGAGGGGTCGCACCTCCTGCCTCCCCTTGGCCCTCATCTCCTGCCACTAAGGAGAGGAAGCACTTGATAGGTTTCCCTGGCTTTTGAAGGTCAATCAGGTCATCAGTCAGGCTCATCAGGTAAATAGCATGAAGTCTTCGAAATGGTGGACCCAGCATCACGCCCCATGAAACGCCAAGGCTCAAGGTCCGGAAGGGTTCATATACCCTGGGGCAAGACAATGAACGTGTGCTGCTTCCCTTCCCAGTAAAGGCAGACTGTTTCTATCCTCTCTGATGGAGATTGCTGACTTGCAACAATCCACCTTGGAGAGCCTGGGTGGCTCGGTCGGTTAAGCATCCGACTCTTGGTTTCGGCTCAGGTCATGACCTCACAGTTTGTGGGTTTTGAGCTCCGTGTTGGGCTCTGCCCTGACAGTGCGGAGCCTGCTTGGGATTCTCTCTCCCCCTTCTCTCTCTGTCTCTGCCCCTCCCCTGCTCATGCTCTCTCAAAATAAATAAATTCAAAAAATAAATAAACAATCCATCCCAGATCCGGTGAAAACAGATGTACCAGAGAAGCTTCACAGAATTGCCCAGTAGGTCTCTGGCCTTCTGAGGTTTGCAGTCAGGAACTGAAAGTTGAAACAACTATCGGCCCATTGTATGAACATGATTTGGTCTAGCCGTAGTTTTCTGTTGGGTTTAGAAAGTAAGAAGGCAACCTGGGCTCAACCGACTTTGGCATTTTACCTGGCAGATAATTCAGAACGGGGGAGAGGAGTCCTGATTGGCGAAGGAGCATTTGCAACATGGAATCTAAGCTGGTGAGGGATCAGCGAAGAAGAAACCATTACACGGGATCTTTATATATTCAGAAAATAAGTCCTTTGCCAAATTTCCTCTACATGCTTGTTTTTTTTTTTAATGTTTGTTTGTTTATTTATTTATTTATTTAGAGAGAACGTGAGCAGAGAACATGGGCAGAGAGAGAGAGGGAGACACAAAATACAAAGCAGGCTCCAGGCTCTGAGCTGTCAGCAAAGAGCCCCACGCGGGGCTCGAACCCACGAACTGTGAGATCATGACCTGAGCCGAAGTCGGACACTGTAACCGAGTGAGCCACCCAGGTGTCCCCATATAGGTGTTTTCAATGTGACCATTATTTTTTTCTGACTCATACCTGCGTACAAGAAAACAGGTTTTGTGTGTTAAATATATAACCACTTGCCTTCTTGAATGGTCTTATCGGTTCAGATATATTCGGGTGGTAAATGTTTTCCTTACGATGATTTGGAAAGT